TGATGCATTTCTCAGAACTTATCCCTGTCATTAAGAGAGATGCATGATTATATTGGATACCCTATTAGATACCTGCATAAATCTAATTTTTTTTTAATGAGATGGGGTCTCGCTCTGTTGCCCAGGATGGAGTGTATAGCACGATTATCGCTAACTGTATCTTCAGAACTCCTGGGCTCAAGTGATCCTCGCACCTCAGCCTCCTGAGTAAGTGGTGCTACAAGCTTATGCCACTATACTCAGCTCATATTTTTTATTTCTATTAAAAAAATTTTTTAAAGTTATTTATTTTCAAGATAAGGTCTCACTGTGTTGCCCAGGCTGGCCTCGAACTCCTTACCTCAAGCCATCCTCCTGCCTGAGCCTCCAGAGTTACTGGAAGTACAGGTATGAGCCACCATACCTCGCTCTAACTTGTTTTGGTGACAGAGTTATATTCTATTTTGTTCCTTTATCATATTTTATTTAACTCATTCTCCTATTGATGAGGACTTGTTAAATAGTTTATTGTTTTACTTATGTTAGTATTTTGAGGAATAGGTTCTTTAGAAGTGACATTCGTGAGCCACTTGGTTGTGCATTTTGATACGTACTCAAAAAGTAAGGAAGTTAACACTATTTGCTGAGAACCTAAATACCTTTTCTTTCTTTTTTAAAAATCATCTTAGCAAGTCTGGAAAAGTTTGAAATTCCAGTAAAAATTCGTTTGAGCCCTGAACCGTGGACCCCTGAAACTGGTCTGGTGACAGATGCCTTCAAGCTGAAACGCAAAGAGCTTAAAACACATTACCAGGCGGACATCGAGCGAATGTATGGAAGAAAATAATTACTCTCTTCGGGCATCAGTTTGCTACAGTGAGCTCAGATCAAATAGGAAAATACTTGAAATGCATGTCTCAAGCTGCGAGGCAAACTCCATTCTTCATATTCAACCTAAACTGTTACTTCTCATGACGTCACCAGTTTTAACTGACAGGATTAGTAAAACGTTAAGACAGCAAACTTGTGTCTGTCTCTTCTTTCATTTTCCCCGCCACCAACTTACTTTACCAATTATGACTGTACTTGTCAGTATGAGAATTTTTCTGAATCATATTGGGGAAGCAGTGATTTTAACACCTCAAGTTTTTAAACATGATTTATATGTTCTGTATAATGTTCAGTTTGTAACTTTTTAAAGTTTGGATGTATAGAGGGATAAAAAGGAAATATAAGAATTGGTTATTTGGGGGATTTTTTTATTCTATTTAAAAAGACGAGTATTGATACGAAATTATGTAAATTTCAAATGCTTATGAATCAAATCATTGTTGAACAAAAGATTTGTTGCTGTGTAATTATTGTCTTGTATGCATCTGAGAGAAATAAATATACTTGTACTTAATGTTTTAAGAAATTGAGATCTTGTGAATATATGCCTGTCACTGTCTTCTTTATATATTTATTTTTTATTAGAAAAAATGAAGTTTGGTTGGAGATGCATGAAACAAAATAGCAAGAGAGGGTTATGGTTTAATAGTGAGATAACACAGCACGTGTAGCACCAGTTGATAATTAGTCTTTAGTAGCTTACTATCAAAATGTTCAGTGTCTTCTATTTAGCTGTTGAAACTAGGAACATATCCAAACTTAAATGGAAGCAATTCTGAAAGAGAGGATAGAATTTAAAAAACAAAGAGTATATAAAGTTATTCTTTGAATATTTCATTGACTATATGTACATTGAGTTGTCTATATTTATAAACACATTAGTCATGGAAAATTATCCCAAATGCTCCTACTTTTAGTCTAGATATTTCATAATATATCTCATTTGAAATTAATATTTTTTCATGGTTTGCACTGATGCGTGTGTGTATGTGTGTGAGAGTCAGTGGTAGCTTATTTAAAAACTAAAAAGCATCCTTTCTATTATAATCTTTCTACACTAGAAAATGAAATAATTTAGAATGCACTTGATAATAGCATTCTCACTAAGATACATGAGAATTTAATTAACTTTATAACCACCTGAGTTAAAATTTAATTTATAGATTTTTTTGTCAGTGTTGGAGTTATCTGTGATTCAGACACATTGCTTGTGTGCTGCATAGTAAGTCTTTTCATATATACTGCTTGTCTATTGCTATTTCTGGATTATCAAGAGTAATAGTGCACCAACTAGGATGTGCTCAAATCAGGACTTAAATCATAGGCGCCACATCTGTTATGTCAGACCAGTTATCTTCTTGATTTTCAGTTATTGTAGGCAACAAAAGGCGAAAAGAAAAGATAAGCACATAGGTCTGTGTAAAGTAAGGAGAGTCTTAGGAGCAGCCAGGACAGTGCATGTGTGTTCAGTCACATCACAAAAATTGTATGTGGAGACATTGCAATACAGTGTTTGTTTTGTTTTCAACTTTTCTTGTATTCTTGTATATTTGTATTATGTTTTGAATGCTTTCTTCATAGTTAAATATTAATGTTTGGGATAACTGCCAAGAAGAAGTAAAAATATTTAAAGTAAATGGAACTTTTATATGAGGATGCTGTGATCTAAAAATTAAATCTGAGTGGGTGGAGAGAATTTGTTTCTGATGCCTTGTCTTAGATGATTTAAAAAAAGGATTGTATTTAGGAAAAAGTGTTAATGCTTCAAAGGAGAGATACTGATTGTGACTTGAAATAGTGTCAGATGAATATGTAGCTGATCACTAATGGAACCGTCTAATGAGGCAGGCTTAGACTCTATCTAGTTTCTTTTGTTTTCTCATATGAAGTTTATAGTTCCTTTCAGTCCTAAAATGTCAGATGCCAGTTGTCAAATGCCACAGTAGAACATGAAATTAAATAGAGTCCCCTTTTAAACATTTCTCTGTAAGCAAAACCATCTTTAGTGACTTAAAAAATAATACTGTCTAAAATTACCCTTTCAAGAAAAAAAAAAAAAACTGTTGAATGAAGAAACGACCCAATAATTATGACTCATACAAGAAATGCTGGTTTAACCAGGAGATCTTTGGGAAGGAAATAAGGAATTTCAAATTGCTAAATCTAATACAAATATCTGACAATAGGATATGGATCTAAAAGAATGGTTCTCAAGAGCTGTTGTTTACTGGGAATAAACTAAGCTGTATGAAGAATTCATGAACATTTCATGTTCCGGTGAGTTTAGCAGCTTACAGCACAGACTGGGGGCCACTCCATTTTTCTTCCACCCCCTCCTCCATTGACATGCTTCTTAGCAGAAACTTCAATAAAAAGTTTTTGTTGACAAAGAACAAACCTGAAAGTAAGTAGTATCTACTTTCTAAATACTACTCTGCTTTTCAGTAGTGGAATTGATTAGATATTTATAATGTTCTCTAAAGCTTGTAAGTTTTTCAGCCACGTTTAAAAATAGATTAACCTGGAATAACTTTTCTGTTTGCTGCTAAAATACTCATGATGTTACCGTTTTTAAACAACTAGTCCCTGTGATACAACTTTAAAAAAATTTGAAAAAATTTTTAAAAATCTCTGATGTGTGGGCTCCTTTTTTCTCTGAAGAATTATGTACATCTGTGGTGTTTTACAGGGGGATCTACTTTTAAACAGTGTACATATTGGACCACACTGAAATGTGATATATCCTTTCTCTACTTAAAATTGGTTATTTACTGTGAGTTCATTTCCGATGTATTCTTGGTTGTTGCTGTTTTCTGCCTGAAGACATGTATATCATAAAGAGAGCTACATGGTATGGACTATTTATTTGTAATTTGACATAAAGTTTGAAGAATAAAGATATATAAAAATTAAAGTTTCTGATATTAAAGCTCTTAATATATTGGGTGTTTTTTTTCTTTTGGTTTTGTTTTTTAAGAAAAGCTCTTCCCGTAACAGTGAAACTTTGACATTTCTGAAATACTTGTTGAAGAAGGAGTTTGGGGAATTTTCCATCCTGCCCCACTAACCACAGGGAGATTTTTTATTCTAGAAATTCTGCATTCATCTACTTTATTTCCTAGCTTTTTAATATTCTAACTTTTCCCTAATCCTTCTTGAATTCCTTCTTTTCATTCTTGCTTTTTGGTTTTGACTGCCCAGAAGCTATGCTGTTAGCATTTTAAATTCCAAAATGCTCATAGAGCATCAAATCTTAAATTAAAATTTGACATCAACAGTAATGGGGTAAAATCTACAATGTGGCAGAAATATTTAAGTTTTGTGCCAATACCTAATCCAGTGATTGTGGGAGGAAGAGTTGTATCATGCTGTATTTCAGAAACTAACCTCCCCCCCCACCCCATCTTTGATTGCCAGTCAATATTTGTTTCTGGGTACATGTAACTTTATCGTAACATACTTTTGTCTCTGTGTGTAAGCCTGTAAAAACCAATTTAAGGTATTTTTACATCAACATTTGGCATCTTCTGTGTGTTTTGCATTAACTTACAGTTTTGCCTCATTTCTCTTCATTAACTTTGCTCAGGTTATTCTTTTTTCTGCCACATAAATATGCAAGTGATTTTAGGATGAGGCTGGTCTATATTGTCATGGAATGGTTTTTACGGCATAACATAAAACAGGTTATGTATAGTAGATCTATAACCTGATTTAGGTAATAACATCTTCAATCTTCTAAAATCTGCCTCTGATTTTCTCCTAATTAATTGGTCCACATGCAAGCATTATAGGCTGCAAGGGCCTGTCTCAGAATCACCTCTGTAAACCAGATACCTTAACATGGTGCATGCATAGCCCCAGGAAAGATGTTCAGTAACTGGTTTTGAGTGAATTAAAATGTTAAAATTATTCTGAGAGTGCAAATGTATCCTCTAATGTTACATGCCTTTTTCTGGTTTGGATTTTTGAAAATGCCTTTCAGCAAACCCCTCCCCATTTGTGTCTTTATTTAGTGATTTTGAATCACGTTGCCTTTGGTGGGATTCATTCAGAAACAGCTTCCCCCATTTGGTTATTTCATCTTACAGTCATTCTCATTTGTGAAGAAAGGTGGTTCTATGTGGGTTTTTTGTTATTCTATAGAGTGACTTTTTCTGCATGGATTACTTTTATAGAAACAAGATCTCTCTCTCATATGAATGTTATTGACCACATTTGCAGAGTTCCTCCACTAATCTTTGCTGGTTACTAACAATGCCGTATTGCTAAAGATTCCCCCCGTTTCTTCATATTCATAGGTTTTTTTTTTAACTTGTATGAACTCACATGTTGAATAAGGGAGGAGCATTCTTTAGAGACTTTAGATACTTTATCAATACTTTATGTTCATAGGGTTTCTTACCTGTATGAGTTTTCACATACAGTAGTAGTTCTCAAACTTGTTGCTTGCAGGACCCCTTATGTTCTGAAATAAGTTACTGAAGACTCCAGAGTGTTTGTTTATGTGGCTTTTATCTATCAATATCTGTTTGTAAAGAGTTTATACTTTACCATAAAACATGCGGAAGTAAATCATTCACTTCGATTTTTCTTAATGAATGTAGTCATATTAAGAATACAAAAGGTATAAGCAAGTGACAAAAGATGAGGATTTATAAGAAACGGTGTGTGTGCCTTCCCCACCCCTGACTCCCAAGAAAAAAGATCATAGCTGAGAAGAAAATAGCTGTCCAAGATTTGTTCTGTGATAAAGGCAAAATTCCACATTTTCCCTCAAAATAGAAATGAAAAACCTATCACTGCATTGTCCAAATAATTTGATACCCCAACCTTCAAAATGTTTATAGAAGCCTATAGCTCCAATGCCCTGCCTATCCCTGACACTTCCCCATGGCCCTATTCTGGGCGCTGTCATGACTCAGCAGGCCCTAGTCTGGAATCTGGGAAGAGGAGGATGTTGAAGACTCACAAGTTCAAATTCTTTTAATGGAGACCTGGAAGGATGGGGCGTCAGGCCTGGTGGGAAAGGAACGGGGTTGTGTGGGAAGGCACTCACATATAAAACATCCAGCTATAACAATGCAGCAGTTTGCTCCCAACCCCACTGTGGGTCACTCGCCCCGTTCAAGGACTTCATGAATGGCCAGGGCACCGTCTCTTATTCTGCTAGATGCTCTGCCTGCCCTGCATAATAGCTTTGCTCAGCCTTTGCGCCAACACCATCCTCACTCCAGCCCTTCCTTGGTTTGAATGTCTTGAGAGCACTGGGGCAAAACTCTGAGAATTCCTTTAAACGTTAGCACAAATGTAAGAAAAGATGGCCATTTGGTAGCTACGGTAAAAAATAGCCACCAGAGATCTGCTTTTAACCCTGTTCAGCAGACCAGCAGTTCACCTCGTGTAGGAAAGTGAGATGCACCAGAGGCTGAAAAATGTTTCTACAGTTTGCTCACTAATTCCACATCTAGAAATCTGTCCTTAGAAAATACTCAATAGATGCAGATTGAGATTTCTTCCAGGAAGATCTTCATTGTGAATTTGTTTATAGCAGTCCATCAATTGGAAACAATTTAAGTGCACTAAAATATCAGTTAAATATTATACACCATCCATTTGATCATAGAAGCAAGAAGAATGTTTATACAGCTTTTTATATTGTGAGGATAGTTTCATAGTATGAATTACATGGGGGGGGAAGAAAGTAGGAATCAAAACTTGGTAAGCACTTTATGTCATGGTGTGTGTGTGTGTGTGTTGTGTGTATATTTCATAGAGAAAAGTCTAGAAGGAAATGTGCCAACAATAGCGAAAAATTGTAATTGACATTTTTTCTCTTCATACTTGCAAAATTTTTTACATTGGCTTTACTTACAACTAAAAAAGTCAAGCTTGTGTAAAGAAGCCTAGCTTAAAATATGGACCATAAGTTTTAAAAATTTTTTATCTTAGCAAAATTATCAATTGTTAAAAAAAAATATTTGAGACTATCTCAAGTGTTCCAGTAAACTCTTTTATTTTCTAATCCAATCCATATTTATATATTTTTTGAAAGCTCCCTTCAACTATACCCCTGTTTGTCAATCTTGTGTTTTTTCTATCTTTATAACATGATATATGAATATCTGTGCCTGTCTTCTATATGTGCATTATTTTCTGGTAATTCTGCCCATGTTCTGCATATGTTTATTTTCATGTTCTTCATCTGATTTTTTTCTCTTATTTACTGCTTCATGACTCAATTTGAATTTTTTTTACCGAATTCTGTGGGATCTTGGCCCTAAATAGCTCTTTTCAAAAAGATTTTCTTCTTGTTTGTCCATTAGATTTGATATGCCCCTTCCCCTCCTCCTGTTAAATGTAAAACTTCATCCATATCAATATCTGATATGGTTTGGTTGTGTCCCCACCCAAATCTCATCTTGAATTTTATCTTCTATAATTCCCATATGTTGTGGGAGGGGCCCAGTTGGAGATAATTGAATCATGGGGGCTGTTTGCTCCATATTGTTCTCACAATAGTGAATAAGTCTCACAAGATCTGATGATTTTATAAGGGGTTTCCCCTTTTACTTGGCTCTCATTCTGTTGCCTGCCACCATGTAAAACGTGCCTTTTGCCTTCTGCTGTGATTGTGAGGCCTCCCCAGCCACGTGGAACTGTGAGTCCATTAAACCTCTTTTTCTTTAAAAATTACACAGTCTAGGGTATGTCTTTCTCAGCAGCATAAAAATGGACTAATGCAATACCATATGGTATATTTTTCTGTAGATCATCCATTTAAGAAGAGGAGATAATTTAATAATTTTTTAAAACAGCTCCCATAAGAAAAGGAAAATTCAGAAAGATGCTTTTCTTCTATCTTTTCCCTGAAAGTTGCCCAGTTCTTCTTTGCCTTTTGGTTGTTTCATTGGCTGATTCTGGTTCTGGGTCTGGTGTCAGTTTTGACCCTGTGATCCCTCATCAGGGCCAGTGCTGAGACCTATGGATGATTGATTGCACCAGACATCCTTTACAGACCAGGCTTGAGGCTTCCTGCTAGTGTAATATTTTTCTCTTTAAAACTTATTTGGAATGTCAGACAAACAGGTGTAAAACATTCCATTACTAGTTTTTGAAAGATTTGCTTATTTAACATTACATGAATTTATGCTCATTTTAAAATTTCTAGAAATTTAGAGGTACAGACTGAAAATGGGAATCCTCCCTATACACACAGGGTTTTTAGAGAACATATAATGAATTAAATTTTGTCTCTCTTCCCACATTTATGTGTTGAAGTCCTGATCTCTAGTACTGAAGAATGTGAGTAAATTTGGAGATAGGGCCTTTGAAAAAGGTAATTAAGTTAACATGAGATCCTTAGTGTGACCCGTCATCCAATATGACTAGAGTCCTTACCAAAGGAGATTAGGACACAGAGATCCACAGAGCAAAGAACATGGGATGCCAAGCCCGAGAGAGAGGTCTCAAAAGATACCAGCCCTGCTGACACCTTGATCTCGCCCTTCTAGCCAACAGGATTGTGAGAAAATAAATTTTTGTTGCTTAAGCCACCCAATCTGTGATTTTGCTATGGCAGCCCTAGCACACTAATACAGACTGCAATTAGATCCTGGTCTGGATTCCATAACTTGCCTTCTTTATTGTGAGCATATGTTGGACATGTTCCTGTGTCAGTATACAGGACCTGATTCATAAATAACTTTGTTAATGGTGAGGCAGTATTCCACAGAATGGATGTATCATAATGTAAACCATTCTCTTATTGTTGGGTACTTACGTTATTCCAATTTTTACCATTAGAATCAGTGGTGACAACACAAAGCCTTTACTCACATTTTTGTGCTTAGGTGGAAGCTCATCTACAGGACAGCCTTCTAACAGAGGAATGGCTGGGTAGATCAAACCTTAGAAGTTTTGTAAACTGTCCAATTGTCACCTGGTTTTGAGTGTGGCATGTGTGTGTGTGTATGTGTGTGTACATGTATGTCTCCTGACGTCTCAGGTAAATTTAAATTTCTGAGAAATGGGTGTTTTAGTGATTCTTTGTCTCCTCCAAGTCTAGTGGCATATGACGTTCTTCTAAGAGATTCAGAGTAAAATTGGCTCTAGTATCGTTTTCATCAATTAGCCTTTGATCATCAATTAGCTAAAAGGCAGGAAACAAGGGGAAACATGGTGTATCATGTGACACAGGCAGGTCCCGTCCCTGGGACAGCAGCATAATTATCCTGTTCTTGAGACTTCAGTCAATCTGGCTATTTCTAGTTTGGTTTACATATTAAAATGAAGGCCACATTTCATGCTTAAATTTTCCATCTAAGGATGATTTTTTTTCTTTTTAAAAATAGCTTTATTGAGGTACAGTTTACATACCATAAAATTCACTCATTTTAAGTGTATAATTCAATGATTTTTAGTAAATTATAGAGTTGAGTTGGGTAATCATCACTGTAATCCAGTAATCCAATTTTAGACCAATTTAGCCTTTTCATCAATTAGCCGTTAATCACCAATTTAGCTAAAATGCAGAAAAGAAGGGGAAACATGTGTAGTGCGGCCCAGCAGACCCTGTCCCTCTGAGACTTTGTAGACCCTTTGTTAGTTTTCTTTGTTCTCTTTTTTTTTTGGAGTAGGGTCTTGCTTTGTCACTCAGGCTGCACTGCTGTGCCGTGATCATGGCTCCAGCCATCCTCCTGCCTCAGCCTCCCGAGTAGGGAGTACAGGAGTGCACCGCCACCTCTGGCTTATTAATTAATTAATTAATTAATTGTAGAGAAAGAGTCTCACTATGTTGCACAGGCTGATTTCAAACTCCTGGCCTCAAGTGATCTTCCTGCCTCCTAAAGTGCTTGGATTGCAGGCGTGAACCACCATGCCCGGCCCTGTGTTAGGTTTATTTATTTATTTATTTTTATTGTGTTTCCTTTTTTTTATATGCCTCCTTCCTTTCTCTCTTCCCTTCCTGCTAATAAACAATGATTTCATATGCCTTTTGAGTCATTTGAGAAATTGTTTTGTTCTTTCTTTCCCAGGAATTGCTAATAATGAGTAAAATAAAAATGGGCAGGAATTTGACGTAAAATCTGAAGGCAGTTTCGTGTTTGTGTATCTCATCTCTCCTCTGTGGCATTTACAGGAAGCAGCAAGCTGTGTGGGTGACGGATGTTGCTATCCATGACTGCTGTCCGTTCCCCTTCTTTGAATTACCAGCCTACGGTGCTGTCCACCATGCAGCTGACGTTCACCAGCTCTGCAGCTACCCGTCTTCCCAATAGTGGCACGAACACAGAGCGAGCCTTGCTCATACACAGTGATGGGAATCTGGAAACACAGTTTTCTTTCCGCCCCCCACCCCCGACCTCAAACCTTGGCAATACTGTTTTCACAGGTAAAGAGGATGAAGAACGCAGACTCACCATAGCAAGATGTCCATGATCACTAGTCATCTGTGTGTCTGTGATGTCGAGGCTGACAATTAGATCTGGTTACAGATATGTGAAAAAAGGACAGTGTTTTGATTGTAGTACTGGTAACAAGAATTGCTTTTTGAATTTTATAATTGGGATCCCCTTTTCTCCCACCTCCAAGTCCTTCCTGCTTTTTCTTTGGTTTCAAAAATACAGAAAGATGATCACTTTTATTGGAAAAACCTGTCAAGAAGCCATCCTTGCGAGACATTAGCAATCCTCGTGCTTGTGAGTTCTGGAATAAAAATTATACAGGCTGGGCATGGGAGCTCACGCCTGTCATCTCAGTACTTTGGGAGGCTATGGCAGGAGGATTGCTTCAGCCCAGGAGTTCAAGACCACCCTAGGCAACATAGGGAAACTCCCATCTCTACAAAAAAAAAAAAAAAAAAAAAAAAAAATTAGCCAGATGTGGTGATGCACATCTGTGGTCCCAGCTACTAGGGAGGCTGAGGTGGGAGAATTGCTTAAGCCCAGGAGGTTGAGGCTGCACTGAGCTGTGATCATGCCACTGCATTCCAGCCTAGGCAACAGAGCGAGAACCCAGTCTCCAAACAGAACAACACAACAGTTAACACAGAATTTGCCAAGTATTTGATGTATGTTACCACCATAAATCCACATGGCAGTGACAAAAACATGGGTGTCCTTATTCATGCTGTTTTACAGATGAGGAAGCTGGGGCTTACAGCAGTTAAGAGTAAGTGACAGCTAGGCTGGAACCTTGTCTGTCTGAAGCTCACTGCACACTAGTTTGGTGTGGTTTAGTCCCCCATACTCCAGCCTTTCGACTAATGCTGCCAGGCCTTCCTGAGCCATCCTATTGGTCTTGGCTTCTTGACTCTGAACTCCTTATTCCCATCCCAGTGCCTTCTTGACCCATGAGACTCACTGTATTCTGCTCACTGGTCTCCAGTTCCAGGAATGGCGCTGACCATCTGCCCTGAGCCGTTAATAAAACAATGCTTGGCTGCTGGCTTGCCACCTGCCTGGCTGGCACTGCGCCAGCTGCTCTGTATAGGACCAAGTATAAATGAACACCCTGGATATGTGCAAACATAAAGACTGCTGTATTCTTAGAATGGAGTTTCGTTAACTTTGGCTTAGAGTAGGCAACATAATTATCCTGTTCTCAAGGCTTCAGAAATTCTGGCTATTTCCAGTTTGGTTTGCATGTTAAAATTAAGGCCACATTTCATGATTAAATTTTCCATCTCAGGATTTTTTTCTATTTAAAAATGGCTTCATTGAGGTATAATTTACGTCCCATAAAATCCACCCATTTAAAAAGTGTATAATTCAATCATTTTTAGTAAATTATAGAGTTGGGCAATCATCACTATGGTTCAGTTTTAGAACATGCTTCTCACCTCACAGGAATGCCTCATGCCTATTTATGGTTATTCTGGGACTTCCTTTGCTCCCTCCTGGCCCCTGGCCCTGGACTTATAAATAACTTCACAGGGAGGGGTCAGGATTTTCACTGTGGACCCCTCTTGCTTTTCCTTGTTCCCTCTTCCCATGGTGTCATTTCTGGCTGGTATGAGACATCATTGCTAATAGCCTGGATGTTGGTTCATTTTTAAAAAAAAATTATTTTACTTTAAGTTCTGGGATGCAAATGCAGGATGTACAGGTTTGTTGCATAGGTAAACATGTGCCATGGTGGTTTGCTGCATCTATACGTCACCTAGGTATGAAGCCTGCATGCATTAGCTTTTTTTTGTGTGTGTGTGCTCTCTCTCTCCTTGCCTCACTGATAGGCCCTGGTATCTGATGTTCCCTTCCCTGTGTCCATGTGTTCTCATTGTTTAACTCCCGCTTATGAGTGAGAACATGTGGTATTTGGTTTTCTGTTCCTGTGTCAGTTTGCAGAGGATGATGGCTTCCAGCTTCATCCATGTCCCTGCAAAGGACATGATCTCATTCCTTTTTATGGCTGCATAGTATTCCATGGTGTATATGTACCACATTTTCTTTAATGGATGTTGGTTCTCTCAGCTCCTCATGATGTCTGATGCTGGCTCTTTCAGGTGAACTCAGACACCTTCAACCTGTCACCTAGCGACTTCCCCTAGAGACTTTCGCTGTGGGGCATCTATGGGAGAATGACACCCACTGCAGTCCCAACAGAATTTCCACCTAGCCTTTCTTTGAGTCCTTTTCACCTTGATGGGAGGGTTCTGGGGGAGCAAAAGCATGTGGACATGCCCTTAGCTACCTCTGGCCATGTTCTTAGCTATCTCTGACTGCCTTCTCTGGGCCCATGTTTGCCCAGACACCTCCCCACCTCCATGCCCATGCCCACCTCTGCAATGGGGAAATGGTTGCGGAGGTGCTGTTCCTGGCTCAAGAGGCTGCACTGTCATCTTTCCAGTGTCTCTGGATTGGCTTTCTGGTCATTCCAGCTGCTATAAAATTGCTAGTGAGGCGTAAGTGCACCCTCCCACCCTACCCCAGGAGATGAGTCTGGGGTCAACATGCTAAGCTCCCTAGATCCCTCCTTTCTGCCCACTTTTTTTTTTATTTGCAAAAGATGTCAAAGCACATCTGCCTTCTATGGATTGTAGTATGAACTGAGAACCTCACTCCAGGAACTGGGCTCCTGAAACTGAGCCTTGTAGAATATAGACTGCTGTCGCCAAGTGCTCTGTCCACAGTAATCCCTCCACCTTCTGTTTGAGTCCTTCACATATCAGTGTTACAAGTCCGTGTTCAACCCTAGAATCGAGGAAAATTGAGGCTCAGAGATGTTAAGCAGACTTGGCATGGCCACACAGCAGAGATACACACAAACGGGTCTTTCTTCTGACTTGAGAGGAGCAAGGAACAAAGAAGAAACCAACAGCAATCTATTTGTCAACACCAGGGAAAGAGATGGAAATGATGGTATAGTCCTATGATGAGGTTTTATGCAGTCATTAAAATCACCTATTTAAAAATATTTGAGTATCTGTAGCAGTTAGAAGTCATGGACTAAAGGGAACTTATAAACATGCTGAGTAAAAAGTTAAGAACAGCATGAGTTGTGTTAAGTTACATGCACTGCACAGAGCCATGTGCATTACAGGAGCACATATGAACAAGACAAGAATGGGATGAAGGGAATGAGACCATCCTGGTCAACATGGTGAAACCCTGTCTCTACTAAGAATACAAAAAATTAGCTGGGCATGGTGGCGCATGCCTGTAATCCCAGCTACTCAGGAGGCTGAGGCAGGAGAATTGCTTGCACCCAGGAGGCAGAGGTTGCAGTGAGCCGAGATCGCGCCATTGCACTCCAGCCTGGGTAACAAGAGCAAACCCCGCCTCAAAAAAAAAAAAGTACTGTGATGAGTGATAAGAAAAATATAACAAACACAAATGTATCATTCACTGGAGAATATGACTGACTTAATCCTCTCCACTTTAAAAAATTTTAATAGCAAAAACAATGCTTATGATAAGATTTCAAAACCAAGAGCATATAAAAGTGTATAAAACATGATCTGATCATATCCTAATTTTATGAAAAGGCACATCTAAGCGTGTACACAAATGTAATGAAAACTAGCCTATCATTTTCTGATTGACAGCTTTCAGTATTTCTTGAACGAATTTCCTTCCATGTTTTTTAAGTAGAAAAGTAGCAAACTTAATGAGCAAAGGGGGGTTAGTCTGGCAACTTTCCCCCGAAACTGTAATTATGTGTTGTAAGTTCCTTTTTTGTAAGGGATGCCAGTCTCCCTGAACCGATGTTCAGTACAGATTGAGCTCTAATAACCAGCCACAATTCTGTGCCACATTCAGAATTCCTGGGCTAATATTTTTCATTGGCTTCTTTAAAATAATTTTATATTTTGAAATAATTTCAGACTTACTGGAAAGTTGCAAAGATGGTATAAGAATTCCAATATGCCCTTCATTCAAATTCTTCAAATGTTAACATTTTACCATACTTGCTTTATCATTCTCTCAATTTTTTTTTGTTGTTTTGAGATGGAGTCTAGCTCTGTCACCAGGCTGGAGTGCAGTGGCATGATCTCAGCTCACTGCAACCTGCGCCTCCCAGGTTCAAACGATTCTCCTGCCTCAGCCTCCTGAGTAGCTGAGATTACAGGCATGTGCTGCCATGTGACCACATGACCTAAATCAGTTAGTAAACAATGACATAGTACTCTTTACTAATTTATAGATTTTATTCAAATTTTTCTACTTGGCTCGTTCATGTCCTGTAGGGCAAGAGGAAAATAAGTAAATAGATAAATTCACCTCCCTCTGTGTACCAGGACTCAATTAAGATCTAGGTGCTAGAAGTACTCATTCCTACTGGGGGAGGAGGCTATTGTTTGTAGGCTGTCTCAGAGGACGATGTATTCATACAGACACAGACATATACACACCCTATATTGCTATCTGTATCTATCTTCCTTTCTTCTTTGCTTTGTTCTGTCCATTCATCCAGCCATCCATCCTAAAACTGGTACCTCCAATACTAACCCAGTAACACAAGGTTCATTCCAGCCTTTTTCCTTTCCATGTCTGTAACACTTGTTAACAGTTATAAACCTGGCTCCCCTTATCAGAATACAGTCTCTTAAATGCTCAATCCCAAAACACACAGAAAGTCGTTTCATTTTTTATTTTTTTGAGATGGAGTCTCCCTCTGTCACCCAGGCTGGAGTGCAGTGGCACCATCTTGGCTCATTGCAACCTCCACCTCCCCAGTTCAAGCAATTCTTCTGCTTCAGCCTCCCAAGTAGCTGGGATTACAGGCATACACCACCACACCAAGCTAATTTTTGTATTCTTAGTATAGACAAGGTTTTACTCAGTTGGCCAGGCGGGCCTCAAACTCTTGACCTCAAGTGATCGGCCTGCCTTAGCCTCCCAAAGTGCTGGGATTACAGATGTGAGCCTCTGCGCCTGGCCAGAAAGTCAGTTCAGAATTGCTAACCATATCACTGTGGAAAGTGAAGATATGAACTAGAATTCAAGTTTGTTTGCAGTTCATTTTTGTCTTTAGCTTGAGGATATAGTGTCAAAATTCCGAGTTCAAAAGGTACTCCAGTAAGTGTTCAACCTCCTTCAGTGTATTTCTATTAATTATTTGAAAATAGGTTAATTTATTTCTACTTACTTTCAATTTTGGGTATTTTCCTACTCCTCATTTAATTGTCTATCTATCTGTCTATACATCCTTTTTATTTGAATATGTGAAATGTTAACATGATTCTACATATATGCTATAACATAATTATACCACAAGGTATACTCAGGAATTATCCTTCCCTAACCCTCTCACCCTGTTCTGATCCCACACTTTAACCCTCATTACTGCTCACCTCCTGAAAGTCATGGTACCAACCAGTGTTCTCCAGAGAAACAGAACCAATGGGAGATTATACATGATTGATTATGGGAACTGGCTCACACTAACGGAGGCTGAGAGATCCTACACTGTGCCGCCTACAGCCTGGAGAACCAGGAAAGCCAATGATGTATTCAGAGTCAGAAGGCCTAAGAATGGGCATAGCTTGGGGGTGGGAACCTTTTAATAGATTTAGATTCCTGATTCATTTTGAATTTATTTCAGTATATGGTCTAAAGTATAGATTTAATTTTCTCTTTATCAAAATGGCTAATTGGATATGCCACTACTGTTTATTAAAAGGTTGATTTTTGTCCCTAGTGATTTGAGATGCTGCTTTGTTATATGCGAATTTCCATATGTATTTGGGTCTATTTCTGAACTTTCTATTTCACTTCATTAATTTATCCATTCATGCACCAGTACCACTCTGTTTTAAGTATGAAATCTTTATAACATGTTCCAATGTCTAGTAGGGATAGTCCTTCCTTGTAGACTTTTGTTTTCAATGTTTTCTTTTCCAGTGTTTAATGCATATTTCTTGCATGTTTGTTTTTCTATACCAATTTCAGTATTATATCTCTAGCTACATAAAACTGCTTGTTGGAATGGCTTGCATTTATAAAATAAGGATAACTGATATCATTATCATAGTGATTCTTCCTATTTAAAAATAAGGTGTGTTCTCACTTATATGTAGGATCCAAAAATCAAATCTATTGAACTCACGGACATAGAGAGAATAGAAGGATAGTTATTAGAGGCTGGGAAGGGTAGTAGGGGTGGTGGGGGAGGCAAGGATGGTTAATGGGTGCCAAAAAATATATATAGGAAGAATGAATAAGACCTACTATTTGATAGCACAGTCGGGTGGCTATAGTCAATAATAATTATATATTTAAAATAACTTAAAGAATGTAGTTGGATTGTTTGTAACTTAGAGGATAAATGTTTGAGGGGACAGATGGATACCCCATTCTCCATGATGTGCTTATTTTACATTGCATGCCTGTATCGAAACATCTCATGTACCCCATAAATATTTACGATGACTACCCACAAAGATTTTAAGAATTATAATAAAAAATAAAAATATGGTACGTTTCTCATTTGCTCAAGTCAACTTTTCTATCTGTTAGAATTATTTTAAAGTTTTTCTCATGTAGATTTTGCACATTTCTTAAGTTTATTGCTATACCTTCTTTGTTGCTATTGTGAATGGGGTTTTCTTTATCATAAAACTTTCTAATTGATTATGGCTTACGTATAAGAAGACTATTGATTTCTGTACATTAGCTTTATTGTCCTGCTGTCTTATTTAAATCTTTTGAGCTAGTTTTATAATCGATTCTCTAAGATGCTCCAGGTATTCATACATGACACGTGCAAATAGCTATAGTTTCATTTTCTTTCAAATTTGTATGCTTCTTCTGTGTTTCTCCTATCTAGTTGTACTGTCTAAGATTTCAGGACGTTGAAGAGCAGTGGAGATAGTACAGATAACTTTCCACAAATTACTCAGTGTTTCAGAGGGCTGATTTCCTACCCCACTTTCTCACTCCTTCTTGGCAATAGAGCCCTAAATGTTTTCAGTCAGCAGTGGATTAGCTAAAGGATTGCATTCTAGACGTTACTTTACCTGGGTATGATAGTGAGGCAAAATTTTGGTAAAAGAGAAATAAGTGGAGTCATTATATGATACTTTAGATCCTTTTTCTTCATTACTTTGCTGCTACCTGGAATTAGGATGTAATGGCTGGACCTCAAGAGGCCATTTTGGGCCACAAGGTGACTTTGTGAATGGGAGCCATGCATCAGGATGGAGGTAACAGCCAGACAGAAAGCCCACGTCCTGCATTATCAAGGAGCCCCATATCAAGCCAAGACTGCCTGCCACTGGACATTTTTACATGAGATAAAAAACATACTTTTACTTTATTTATGTTACTGTTTCTTGGAGGTTCCAGTCACATGCAGCCAATCAAAATTCTAATGGAGTTTTGGTTTCTTCATCTGTAAAGTGATAATATTTTACCTCACTGAATTATCAGAATTAAATGAACTAGTTCATGTAAAAAAAAAGGCTACATGTAGTAAGCACAAAAGTCTCCCTGATTTTGTGAGGTTTGGATGAGCTCCGTATTTAAGTGCCCTTTGCAAGTTGTCAATGGAAGGCCAACATCCCCATCTGTGCTTTGCACCTGCTTTCTTTCTTCTTTCTCAACTCTTCTGTGATCAATTATCCTTTCATTTCTTGAATAGTTTACCTCTCTCTTTCAACTTGACTCTTCATGTGGATTTTAAACATTTGTGAGCTGTTCTCATTGAATCAAAACTGTCCCTTGTCCCCTCCAGCTACAATTTTGTCTTTCTCCTATTCTTCAAAGTCAAAGTTTTACAAACAATGTTTTCTTATGTGATGTATCAGACAGTGTCGGCTGTCAACCCAGACCTTTGAGTCCCTGCTTCGTGTGTGTGCCTGCCCCCCTTCAGCGTGCTTTTGCTTCTAACACCCAGCGCTGTGGCTTCAGAAGA